CCTTCTCCTTCCTTCTCCTTCCTTCTCCTTCCTTCTCCTTCCTTCTCCTTCCTTCTCCTTCCTTCTCCTTCCTTCTCCTTCCTTCTCCTTCCTTCTCCCTTCTTCTCCCCAACCCCCATTCGCCCTCTTTCCCTCTTCTTTCTTTCTTTTTATTTTTTTGAGACAGGATTTTACTTTGCAGACGAGCCTGGCCTGGAACTCACTCTGTAGACCAGCCTGACCCGGATGAGACCCCTCTTCCTCTGACTCACAAGTGCCAGGATTAAAGAGACGCACCTCCATATCTGGCCTTTACTTTTTGTCTTGTTCCAAAGAATGTTTCTTTGTATGAGTGCATCACAGTTTATTCATGAAAAGCGCTAAGATTTTAATAAAATTCTACTACATAAAATCAATATTTAAATTGTTTCTACTTGTTCTGCTTTACTTTAAGGGTGGTTATTAAAACAAACCCACAATAAATTCCAATGAATTCCTCTTTGGGCAGTTCTGCCCTGGGCCTTGGCAAAACCACATAATCAGTAGAGCTAGCTTCAATACAACCTTATATTTTAACACCTGCCTGGATTCTGTTGTCCCCAACACAGGGCGTTGTTCTAAGGACTTGACTGGCTTGCTTTGTCTCCTCTGCCGCCCCTAACTGATGGCTGTGTTTCCCCATCTTCCAGCTCCCACCTCCCCATTGACATTTAAGGCAGTTAAGTTGTTACATTGGGGTTAGGTTGTCATTGGCCGATCCCAGCTCTTTGCACTGGGTCTTAGGGGACATACAGAAGTATGCCTATGTGGCTTGTGTTCAGGAGAACACTGCTAAGGGGAAACAGTGTTCGCAGATAAAGACATGTGCTAGAGCTCTTAGAATAAATCTTACATAGCTTATATTAGTACTGTCTCTAGAAATTGCCTGGAATAGGAGTTCATTCCATTATAATCTGATTTATTCTTTTTTGCCTTCAATTCATTTATATCCTGTGCTCTCAGTGGGACAACTTTGTGCCCAAATGAGCAAAAGTTGGTTTTTTGCAGGTGGTGGAAAAAGATCTATCCTCTCACTGTATAAAGCATATATATCTATATGTGTGTATATATATTTCTGTGCCTTTATACACACCCACAGTACAAACGCAGATACAGCATGTCTTAGATACACCACTGCCCTGTGCTGAGGTCAGTGTTCCTCGGGGCTTGATGGTGATACGCTGACAGGCAAGGCTTCCTGTGCTCCTCACAGACATTCCTAGGGCATGCACAGAACAGCCGCGCTCTGTCATTTAAACCAGTTAATACCCCCAAATTCCCAAGAAGAGGAAAGAATATAAAACAGACAAAATGGATTGAAACATCTACGTTTGTACTGTGCCCTAGTTCTCTGAGCTCTGCACTGCAGTTCTGCTCTGGGCTCCTGTTGGAGTCGCCGTGAGGAAGAGGGAGCAGGTGATGGGTGTTCAAAGTCTCACCAAACATAGTTATCACTGCCAGCTCATTTATATTCTCTCTCTCTCTCTCTCTCTCTCTCTCTCTCTCTCCTGTAGTAGCTTGGTAAAACATATGTAGGTTTTTATTGCACCCTTACCACAAATGTTTTCTTTGTCTACCTTGAAACAGGGTTTCACTGTGCATTCCAGGTTGGCTTCAAACTTGCCATCCTCTGCCTCAGACTCCCGAGTCCTGGGTGCACACCACCGTACCCAGCCTCAGATGGCCTCTCAGATAAAGTTGATATAAAATGCTATCACATACTTACTCCTCCCCACCCCTGCCCTGCTCTGTCTGGGGCCCTGTGGGATATAACTTCTCTCACACTCCAGCATCACACACTTGCTTCCGTGTACATGGAACCTCCCATCTGGCCTTTGTACACCCTTTGCCTGGGTATTTCCCAGAAATCTTTTAGTTCCCTTTCCTCCAGGAAGTCTTCCATGACCACCCAACCCCACTCATGTCTGGCTTATGTTCCCAAATCTATTTCAGTTATTGTAACTACCCCACATCATCACACTGATATGGGAGTCCCCTCTGTGTGCTGTGATTACCATTAGTGAATAAAGAAACTGTTTTGGACCTATAGCAGGGCAGAACTTAGGTAGGCAGGGAAAGCTAGACTGAATGCTGGGAAAAAGAAGGGCAGAGTCAGAGAGAAGCCATGGAGCCACCGCCAGAGTCAGTCATGCTGAAACTTTGCCAGTAAGCCACAGCCACATGACGATATACAGATTAATAGAAATGGGTTGAGTTAACCAATAAGAAGTTAGAGCTAATAGACCAAGCAGTGATTTAATTAATACAGCTTCTATGTGATTATTTTGGGTATAAACTTGCCAGGCAGCCAGGAACCAACAAGCAACCACCCTTCAATGTCACACTTCTATATCAGTTTGTCTAACTTCATTGCGTTGTGAGCGTCTTCAAGGCAAAGGCTATGGTTTATTCATTTCTGACCTTAGCGGCTCACTGCGGGACTTCATGACTTCATTTTATTTTTTTTTAAAAAAACCCACAATAATTTCTCTATGAAATGCATGGTTGTTTTATATAATTCCATTCCAAAGGACAAAATAAGAAAAATCTCTTTTATTTGCTTTGTAAAGCTTTACTGCTGATAACAGTATTTCACATTAGACTTTTATAAAATATTAAAAATAGCTCCTCATTATTATCCTTGTAAAAGTCTCTGTGAAATATGCCTGACAATGCTGGAAAGACCCGGGGCTCCTGCCCCGGCAAAGCTCTGCTCAGGCCTCTCTGTCCTGCAGCTCTGCAGCTCTCTGCAGGAGCACCAGTGGGGAGGAGGGAAGGTGGGGGTGGAGGCTGCAAAGACAGAACGCTAGCTAATTCTTCCGCAGGACTTGGGAGGTCAGTGAAGGAGACACTTACATGAAACCAATAAAGATACAGAACTGTGCAGATATATACAGACATATTCATGGTTACTGTGAGGTCGATATTATTAGCCCCACACATTAGATTTCCACCACTCTGGAGAAAGGCCTGAAATAGCCAAGGAGAAATGCTTCTTTGCCTTTTCCCATTCAGAGGTTTCAGTCTGTTTCAGGTCCCTGGTTTCGTCTCCTTTGGCTGTGGTGGCCAACGCTTCACCTCAGGAGTGTGTGGCAGAGGAAGTCTTTTTACCTGGTGGCAGCTAGGAAGCGGGATGAGGAAGAGGGAGGAGTTTAAGAGCCAGTATCCTGCAGTTACCTGACTTCCTTCTACCATACCAGTCCAGAGAGGTCTCACAACCTTCCTGTACACAGACAGCGACCAGACCTGTGTCCAAACCACCATAGCCTACTAACAGAACAACGTAAACAAAAACCTGAATGCATTGGTAAAGTAAGAGCCGCTCTTTTTTGTTTTCTAGACTGCTAGACATATCCATCCTACTTAGGGCCCACGAGACTTGAGTGTACAACTTCCTGGATCTCATGCCCTGTGTGAGAAGATAAAGGTAGAACTCGGGACGCGTTCTCGTTTTTCACCAGCAGGATTCCAGGTTCACCGTTCCTCAGAGGAAATGAGTGAGGTGAGGTGAAGTCCATTGCTTTTCTGATATACCTCAGGTATAACATCCTATATTTACTCAAGAGGAAGACTCTAATGGCTACCGTATGAACCATGAGTGCATATGGCGGAGGAGTTGGGCACACACAAAGTAACCACGGTTAGGGAGGCTAACTGAAGAATCGTATTTTTCTCTATGATAGAAACTGCCAAACACACACTCAAGTTTCTTTGCACATTAAGAGAAGTTGAGGTTCACCTGTCTTGAGCCCTGATAGATTTTTTTGGCCACCTAGGAGCATAGCAATTTCTCCCATTTCCTGGTTACCATCAGAAACATCTCTCTTCTAGTTTGTTTTTTTGTTGCTTGACAAAGTCCTCTGACCATAGACAACTTAGGGGCAGGCAGTCAATAAAGTCTTACACTGCCAGGTCACAATTCATCATGGGGGTGTGTGTGTCGGTGCAGGAACTCAAGCCAAAACCGAGGAGGAATGATGCGTATTGGCTTGTGTTCAACTAGCTTTCTCACATAGACCACTATGCCTAGGGGTGGTGCCTTCCACAGTGGACTGGGCCCTCCTGTAGTAATAGCCAATGAAGCCAGTCTCTCACAGACATGGCCATAGGCTAATCTGATGGGGACAATTCTTCCATTGAGGTTCCCTCTTTCCAGGTGACTCTAGCTTGTATCAGGTTGGCAATAAAGACTAACCAGGACAGTCTTATTCCTGTTTCCTCTGAGGGACATGCAGGGGACCTGGCAGAAGTACTGGATCAGACTAAGCACTGTGCCAGGCTGAGAATTCTTCATTCATTCATTTTTAAGCCAAGTCTAGTGAATGCTTGCTATTCTCTTCTTGAAACAAGTTCCTTATGTTCACACTGTAACTCAAGTACATGGTCTTGGATCCCAAATCACATGCATGCACAACTGTATGCACATGTACAGCCACAAACCAAAAAAACATTTGTTAACAAAAAGTCAAGTAATACTGGAAACTGAAAGATTTTAATGTGTTTGCACTAGGTGTGATAAAGAGGTCCAGTGACCCTTCCAAGTCCATCTGGGGTTCCGATACAAGTTTTAGTTTAAACAGACAGTAGAAAGCAGGCATAGGAACAGTCCTGGTCAAGTCCCATCCACAGCTGTCTCTACTCCAATTTGTCTGACAAGTTGTCACCATGGTGCAGACTTCCTGGGTGACAAACTTCTCCTCAGCCTTCCCCTTTTCCCAGCATGAGATTCCTGAAGGAAATTCCACTTTCTTGGGGTTCATTGTTTCCATAGTCTAGTAGCCAAAAGGAGGGCATGAATCTCTTTAGGAGATCTTCATCCCTGCCAGGGTGGTTACACAAATCACTTAGCTCAGTTGCCCTCTGCCAACGTCCAACCCAAGTGCCACAGAATTGCCCTGGACCTTCCCATCTAGTTGTGAGTCTTCCCTCCTAGTAGCTTCTCCTTTATTTAAAAAACACACGTGTGTGTGTGTGTGTGTGTGTGTGTGTGTGTGTGTGTGTGTGTGTATGTGTGTGTGTGAGTTCAGGTGCCATGGCTTGTGTGTGGAGGTCAGAGGACAACTCTCAGGAGGGTCTCACTTTCCGCTTAGCTCTCACAAGGTCTTCCTTGCTGGTCTCAATGTTTGACAGACTGAGGGTTCTTCTTTCGGGGAGTTTTGGGCTGATTCTCCTGTCTGTCTGTCTGTCTGTCTGTCTGTCTGTCACCTCGCCTTCCATCTGCTGAGATTCCAGCCACTGCATCTGGCTTTGTACACGGGTTCTGGGGATTGAACTCGGGTTGTTGGGCTTGTGTGGAAAGCGCCTTTGCCTCTGGTCCATCTTCCTTGCTGCAAGCTCAGCTCTTTGATTATTTCACTGTGCCCTGCACTGTGGTCAGTATGTTTGTGTC